GTGCTTCACTGAGTTTACTAAAATGGCAAACGGACCGTGGGCCATGGTGAGTTACAGTGTTTCTCAAATGTAACCTGGATGTAAAACAATGTCACAACATTTGAATTTTGATCACATAAAAAAGTTAAAAAGCAAGTGAGAGAGGTCCAAGATTCAAATCCCAGACAAGCCCCTGGCTGTAAGGGAGCCTAAGTCACGCCCATCTGAACCACAGGTCCCCGAAAGAACAAACAACGAATGCAAGTCAGTGAGGTGCATCTTGATTTTTATCTTGAGATGCGCTACATAAAAGATCGTTTTCTTTCTTTTCTAAAACACTATTTTCTATTACTGTTTATCATGTGCCATGGACTTTAGATATTATCCATCCATCCATCTTTTCATCCGTCCATTTTCCGTCTCTTATCTGGGGTCGGGTCGCAGGGGCAGCAGCCTAATGGGCCATTCACATCTGTACCTGGTCGGCCCAGCCCGGATAGCATAGCTTGCTTACATGTCTTGGCGTCTGGCAACGCTCCATTGACAGCTCTTGGTTGTGGGGCGGGTTCTACCGTTGTCTTTCAAATGATCTCCGCGTGCTACTGGACAAAGAATGTGACATACTCTTGTTTCACTCTGTTGCATCATCCCACCAGGCATGTAGAGAGCCCTGATTGGCCCACAAAGCTGATAAAGCTCTATGATTTGTTCACTAAGCAGATAGAGCACTATGATTGGCCCACCATTATGGACCAATCACAGCTCTTTATGTGTTTGAAACCTCTCTAGAGAGCTGTGATTGGCCAGCTAGAATGCTGTTGGGGTTCCAGTGGAGCATTTCATTTCGAATCCTTTGTCCAGGAGGAAAGAACCACCATAAATCTGGCCATTTAGTAAGTAGCAGCTACGCTAGGGCAGAGGAGATTTCAGTTCAGTTTCAGTTGCTGCTGTGGCCCCCAGACTCTGGACCTCTCTCCCCCTGAGCCTGAGATCAGTGGACTCAGTGGTCTCCTTTAAAAAGCAGCTGAAGACTCACTTGTTCAAGCTGGCTTTTGTATGACCTTCTTCACCTCTCTCTCTTTATTCTGCTGTCCCCACCTATTCCACCTTCCTCAGGATCCACTGATTTCCCTCTTTCCTGTTCACTCTCTCTCTTTCTTAACATTTTTTAATCACAATTGCCTATTTTTGCTCATTTTAATATTTTTTTTAACATTTTCTAAATGCTTTTTTATTTTTTTACATTTTTTTGTGAAGCGCCTCGTGATTTTTATCTTGAGAGGCGCTATAGAAATCTTCTTCTTCTTCTTCTTCTTCTTCTTCTTCTTCTTCTTCTTCTTCTTCTTCTTCTTCTTCTTCTTCTTCTTCTTCTTCAGGGACCCATGAGCCGACTGGAAAGGGAGGAGACTTGGGCTCCACATGGCTCAAAAATGAATTTAACAAAATGAACTTGTCTAAGACAAAGAACACACAAGCTTTAGTTTCTTCAGCGCACTCAAACACCAGAACAAATGTGAAAGTCCTACTTTTGTTACAGAAGAGCTAAGCTTAAGTTTAAAAAGAAATCAGAACAAGACAACTCTCCCCTTCAGATTTCACAAAAAGTTTTTTCTTGCAAACTAAAACTAAAACATGTTTTATCTTTGTCTTCACAGCTCTACGACTCTGTTCCTTTAGTTCAGTCTCTGCCGCTGCCTTTCAGAAGGGGCTTCAAGCTGATGGAGGTATTAATAAAGCAACTAAACACGAAAAGCGAATTAGTGGTACCCTCAGTTAAAAACAGAAAGATCACCATTGCTGAAACTACCAGAAACGGGTGGTCGAAAAAGTAAAGAAAGATATTCTGGAAAATGTTTTCATGCTAATCAAGCACTGCTTTTAAAATGTGGTGTTAAAACAAATGAAGCATGCCTCAAGTCAGGAAAAGGCTTGAAGACCAGCTCCGAGAAGCTCAGTCATCTAACAGGACGATGAGCCTAAACACAACACTCAGCATGGGTCAGAGAGTGTTTGATTCTGGCTTTTTTAACCCTCCCTGCGAGGAAAGTTGGCCATTGAGCAGGGTTGATGGTTTATCCCTTGAGGTCCATGTGACAGGGGTGAGGTGGTGCTCACTCCTCACCCCTGTCACATGGACCCAAGGGATAAACCATCAGTCCTGCTCAATGGTCAACTTTCCTTGCGGGGTCACACCCATTAGGACAATGGGAGGGTTACAATTGTTATCAGATATTTAAAGTCCACCTCTCACTTTCCAATACTATAAGTTTAAACTTAAACTTTAAACATTATCTATGGGAAAACATGACGACTACATCATTTTAAGTTGGGCCTTGCGAGGCCAGGAGCCTTGCTTGCAAGGACGCGGTCCTTCCTTGGTCAAAGAAAACGGTTAAGTGGAACAAACTTGCATCACGTGACCGCGGCTTCCACGGCGGTCACGTAACGACACGAGACACGAGAGACAACATTATATTTTATACGTATTAGTTTCAATATAAATATCTAACAAGACTTTTACTTTTTAAATTTTGTATGTTTATTAAATTAAATATATAATTGAGTTACTGCCCGCTAGGCACCGAAGCTGCAACTACTAAGCAACTAACCAAACATAGATAACGTCTTTGGATCTAAAAAAACATTTTAAGTTAGCTGGCTTACCTTTAAACTTGAAAATTGTCCCCGAAGTAGCTGCCGGCTTCTGATCCGCCGTCCTTTTGAAAATACCGCAGTGTATTCTGGGTAATTTTTGACCAAGGCTAGGCTACAAGACACCTCCCGTGTATCCTCGCTCAGCTAGCTAAGCGGCTAACAAACAGAGAACACACACCTCGGTAGAGCATGAGCATTGGAGCACGTCTTGGCGGCTCCTGATGACGTATCTCCTAGGCAACCGGGGCGGGGCCAAGACATCAAGGCAAGGTTCCTCTGCATTGAGAAACAATCCTTTTCTCCCTAGGATAATCCTGATTAACGCCCACCACGCAGGACTCGTTTCTTCTACTTCCCAAGCTGTTCCAATCAAGGACTAACATCTCAAGAACTTTACCTCAGATCGGACATGATTAATTTTTTTGAGTTTGAAGAGAAATAGCTGAAATGTTTGATGTACAAAATGTAGGGATGCTCAAAGTTATCAGTCTGCCATTAATATCGGCCAATTTCTGCATTAAAATTTAAATCCCAGAATCAGTTTTCGGTCTTTTGATGACACAGCTTTTACATCCCAAACACATATTATACATCAGACTCTTCCGCTACTTCTAGTCTCTCTCACAATGTCAAAATATGACAAATCAGAGTTAAAGATTTTGAGATATTTTAGTTTATTTGACACAACTTGTGAAGTCTAAATTTGCCCTGTGTAGCAAAAGTACGCTGTCCACATAACACGTAGCTACATGTGCTAGCAGCTAACGAACGACTAGAACAAAAACAAGAATCATCACCTGAGGCTCGCTTTTCTTATCTGAAGATCTTTGTAAATGTTTTATCACCAAAGCGGCGACATACAGAAAAAGCAAAATACATTACTAACTAATACACACGTTTTAGCGTCACGCTTAGGGGGAAATACGGCACTTTACCTGTGCTAACTTAATCTAGATCATGTTAAACATCTGTGGAAGAAGCTGAAACATCTGGAGAAGAAACCCTTCAGGCTCAAACAGCTAGAGCAGTTTGTGTATGAGGAGTGGACCATAATCAGGGTATCCGTGGGTCCTTAAAAAGTCTTAAAAAGTCTTAAATTTACTTTTCCAAATTTAAGGCCTTGAAAAGCCTTAAAAATGACAAATAATCCTTAAATCCAGTTTCCAAAGGTCTTAAATTACCAAAGACCCAATAAACAAGATTATTTTATTTCTATAAAACTTTTCGTGAATTTCTACTTGGTGTTCAGCATTTTTTGTGTACGATGTTGGCGTAAGCGGAACCGTACACATTCAGTTGGTTGTGAAAGGGGGCTACTTTTAGATGAGCACATTAGCTGGTTAAGCTAGTGGGAGCTTGCGCCATGGGATGTGCAAGTTTAATGGTAACTGGATGGCTAATCCCACGTTCACGACGTGGTTAGCGCCGGTTCCAGGCAATAGCTGGAAATTATAGCTTAAATTTAATTTTAAAAATAGCTTAAATTTGGTCAAAGTGGCCTTAAAAAAGGTCTTAAAAAGTCTTAAATTTGGCTCCCTTAAACCTGCAGATACCCTGATAATACCTGTGGACAGGTGAGAAGTCTCACTGAGAGCTGCAGAAGTCACGGTGGTTAAGTGTTTCATCCTTTTAGTGCAGATTCGTTTCTTCAGGTGTTGTTTTATATTTCTGCTAAACCGTAATTCAAAATTAGCTTTTTATTTTCAAATCAAATCTAACTTTTTTCTGGTTGTTTCAGTGATCAGTGAAGGTTCTTGTTTCTTAAACAGAACCATGAAAATAACTGTTCACACATCTGTGCAAATCTTAACTGTGCTCTCTTCTTCTTCCTAATGTTATTATATCTGCGTGTTTTAGACTTTTCTGAGTTTTGCCGTCTGTCGGGTGAACGAGCACAAGAAGAGCAGAATCCCTGGAGAACCACGAGATTTTGTCGACTGTTACCTGGATGAGCTGGATAAGGTATAATTAACCAGAAAAGTCAAACATAATGAAGCCAATAGATGTGAATATCGTCAAAATACATTTGTTTACCACCACCTAAAGAAAATTAAGTTTAAAAGGCTAAACGTTTATGATCATCATCCTTCATTCATAAAGTACCTTCCTACACAATGAGATGCTGTGATGTTCGCTACATGGTGACGTAACACACGTTAAAAAGAGCACAGAAAGGTAACCGCACTACGTACAGAGAAGTTAAAAGGTAAAGCTAAAAACAAGTCAAAAACTGGATAACAGGATTTTTCTAAAAGATCCAAAAGGGGAGAAATCAAAGCCGCAACTGAGCTAAGATAAAGATTTCTTCGTTGACACCATGCAAGAAAGCTGGAGAATAGAGATGCGTCTCTAATCTACTTTTACAAATATCTAGTGACGAAGCTTGTCTGACGTCTCCCAGGAATTCATTCCATGATTTCAGCACAAGAACCGAAAATGCTAACGCTTCTCTGGTCTTGTGCTTCACTTGCGGAACAACCAGTAGACAGTGTTCCACTTTTTACCATTTACCAGAGCGAGCAAGATGGGATGCGGCCATGCAAAAGATTGGATAGGTAGGAATGAGCACTTCCTTGTAGGGATTCACAAACAAACACAAGAAGTTTAAAACTGGCCCTAAAGTTGGAGTGTTGTGCTCCCTCTTCCTTGGACCCTTCAGGAAACAAATCAGCACATTTAGGATTATTTGTAGTCGAGCCAAAGAAGCCTGGCTCATATCCACATACAGTTAGTTTAATTAATCCAAAAGAAAGATAATTAATGGATGACTTTATGTTATCAAAACGTAGTTGTGATAAAAAAAATGTTTTTTTTTTGTTAGTTAGGCAGAGCAGATGGAAGGAAGCATAATTTCACAGTCACATTAACCTGGTCATCCAATTTAAGAGCAGTATCTAGCTGTGTCTGTATCTAGTATCTATCTAATTTTCTAATTGAAATTCTGAAAGAAGCCACCCAGGATCTAACATCCTCTAGACAGTTGAGGAGCAGCAGGGCCAAACCTGAACCACATTGTCTCAATGGAAAATAGAATTAGCAGTCGTCAGCATACAAAGTAACTTAACATAATGCTTTCGATAACGCGTTCCAAGTGGCAGCAAATGAAAGTAGAAGGGAAGTGGCACAAGAATAGATCCTTGCAGTACTCCCCAAAAGAAGTCAGCACAGAAGGAATAAAAATCATGCATCCTGTCATGGAAACTCGTCCCTGACAGTTAGGACCTAGTCCATTGGATAACAGAACCGGTAATACCGACCCACCTTTCCAACCAAATCATCAACATATCATGGTCTGCTGTTTTAAATGCTGTTGTCTGGTCTGTACAGTGGTCTCTCACTAAAGCACGATTCACCTTTTGCAGGTTTGCAGAATTTCTTTTTGTGCAACTTTGCATGCTTTTATTTATTTATTTTTTTTTTTTACAGTGCATTGAGTTCCACATCCAAAGGTACAACGGTTTGGACTTTAAGAGTGTCTCAACAAGAGAGAAAAGTATGAAAATGTTAATGCCTGACTGAGAGAAGTGTTTAAAGTAAAAAATATCATGGTGGTGCGCTGGGAGAAAGGGCGGCTGTGTCGCTGGAGCGCATTAATAATCAATGCTCCGGCCTCTTTGTAGGAGCAGGAGACCCGAGTCTCTACGACGTTAACGAGAGCCTGAAACACTGGAGTGAACGTGTGCAAATAAAACTGTTCACCCAGGCATGCATGCTGGAAATCAAACTGTCAGGAAACAAAAACTCGTGTGTGTGTGTGTGTGTGTGTGTGTGTGTGTGTGTGTGTGTGTGTGTGTGTGTGATACCTATAGTAACTGCGTACGCTGGAAACATCTAGAATAAATGTAAAAAATGAGGCTGACTACTTTGTGGAAGGGGCCAACCCCTACGATGAACGAGGGACCGCTGTACATGAAAGAAGCAGTGAGAAAGTGTAGTTGTGGCTCAGGCCCATAGGTGGGCCATTGACATTTCTTCAGCAAAAGTTACACATCATCATGGACCACATTCACCATCAGACCGCTGTTAATAACAACCAGGGGAGTAGAGGGTTACCAAGGAGAAAGCTGTAACCTGGAAACCAGCACCTCTAATTCAGAGGAACATGGATCGATAAACCTCAGTCACAGAAGGGAGGTTTCAGAACCGACGGGCTATGAGCAGGTGCAACACATGTGGCATTAGTGGCATCTTTGTTCTGTCTTCCTGCACCAGAGTCAGTCAGTCAGGACTCTGTCCTAAGCTGTGGTTTCCAGGCACAAACTGGAGCCATCAGGGTAGAAACACACGAGTTTCAAAAGGGTCTGATCTGATTTCTGCTGATTTCACCAAAATCACTGTCTTTTGTTCAGAAGAGCGATGAGTCATCATTTTCAAAGGAACAACTCATCGGTCAGCTGTTTGATCTTTACATTGCTGGAACCGACACCACCTCCAACACGCTCCTCACAGCGTTCCTCTACCTGATGAATTACCCTCAAACGCAAGGTACCGTCCCTCGTGGAGAAATGATTCCATCGTTTTTCTTTTACAGCTTGTCGAGAACCCTTAAACTTGTTATGATTGGTCCTTTATGATTCTGTTTTCGCCACTTTCAGATAAATGAAGCTTTATTTTATTTGACGACGGTGGCACAGGAGTTAAGTGCTCGCCCTGCAATCGGAAGGTTGCAGGCTCGAGTCCCGCTCAGTCTGTTGCTGTCGTTGTGTCCTTGGGCAAGACATTTAACCCACGTTGCCTGCTGGTGGTGGTCGGAGGGACCGGTGGCGCCAGTGCTCGGCAGCCTCGCCTCTGTCAGTGCGCCCCAGGGCAGCTGTGGCTTCATTGTAGCTCATCCCCACCAGTGTGTGAATGTGTGAATGACTGATTGTGTTGTAAAGCGCCTTGGGGGGTTCCAGGACTCTAGAAGGCGCTATATCAAATACAGGCCATTTACCATTTTAAATTTTTTGGTGTCTCAGAGCGATGCCAGCTGGAAATCGATCAGGTGTTAGAGGGGAAGGACCGGATCGCCTTTGAGGACAGACACAACATGCCTTACATGCAGGTCAATCAGATTGCCTTCATAACTCCTCTGTTTTTAGAGGGTCACCTGTGTCTGGGTACAGTTTTTATGTTTATTCCTCCAGGCTGTGATCCATGAAGTCCAGAGAGTCGCCAACACTGTTCCTCTCAGCGTCTTCCACTGCACAACCAAAGACACAGAACTGATGGGATATTCCATTCCCAAAGTGAGAGGAAACCTGTTTCAACTGCAGATAAACTGAAGCGTGGAGAATCGTTCATGAACTGTGTTTTCATACTTTTATCTCCAGGGAACGATAATCATCCAGAACATGATGTCTGTGCTGAAGGAGGAGGGTCAGTGGAAATTCCCTCATGACTTCAACCCTGAGAACTTCCTGAACGAGCAGGGGGAGTTTGTCAAACCAGAGGCCTTCATGCCTTTCTCTGCAGGTAAACCTGTTCAAGACTCCTTTAAAGACCTAGAATAAAGTTTGTTCAATCAAAGATAATCTTTAGTTCATTTGATGTTTCTCAGGTCCTCGGATGTGCCTCGGAGAAGGTCTGGCTCGTATGGAGCTCTTCGTCATCATAGTGACTCTTCTAAAGAAATACAAGTTCATCTGGCCAGCGGATGCCGGAGAACCAGACTACACGATGGTCTTTGGAGCAACTTTGACTCCAAAACCTTATACCATGAGGGTCCAGCCAAGGGCCATTCAATAAATCCCATTCAGCTTTCTTTAAAAAAAATTAATACATTTAATTTTAATCCTTCCAGTGTATTTTTATGGACTCCTATGATGATATTGATGTATTACCTCTTTAAATTCTGCTGAATAAAGACGTTTTGTAACTCTGACCTACTTCAGCACCATGGACAGCACATCATTCCTCACATTGCAGCAAGTTTTAAAATAATACAATTTTCATTATAACAAGTAAACACTTTTGAAGACATTTTGGAGTATTTGGGGACCTTTGTGCATTGTCAAACATAAGGTCGAGGAGGCAGTAGCCTAAGGCGAGAGGCCCAGACTTCCCTCTCCCCAGCCACTTGGGCCAGCTCCTCCGGGGGAATCCCAAGGCGTTCCCTGGCCAGGTGAGAGACATAGTCCCTCCACCGTGTCCTGGGTCTACCTTTAGGTCTCCACCCGGTTGGACATGCCGGGAAAACCTCACCATGGAGGCGTCCAGGAGGCATCCTGACCAGATGCCCAGGCCACCTCAACTGGCTCCTCTCAATGTGGAGGAGCAGCGGGTCTACTCCGAGCCCCTCCCGAATGGCCGGGCTTCTCACCCTATCTCTAAGGGAGAGCCCAGCCACTCTTCGGAGAAAACTCATTTCAGCCGCATGTATCTGTGATCTTGCTCGTTCTACATACAGCAGCTGCCGCTATTCAAGAATTTTTTGATTCAGGACATACATACGAGGTGATACTGGATATGCTCAAGTCTAGTCATGACAGCAGCTATGTGGTCACCGCTAATGTTCATGTTTGGAAAATGCGCTACAAATAGAGTAACTTCCGGGTCACAAGACAAACAGCGCAGTCGGCCAATCAGTGATGTTTGCTGTTGCTGACTGGTACCTACCCTTTCCGGTTTCTTAATTTCTTTGTGCTTGTGTAAATTTGTTTGTATTTTTCTTAATTTGTTTGTATTTTTCTTAATTTGTTTGTGTTTGTGTAAATTTGTTTTTGTTATTCTTGATATTTTTGTGTTTTTCTAATTTATTTTGTGTTATTCTTTATTTGTTTGTGTGATCCTTATTTGTTTCTGTGCTTCTCAATTTGTAGTTGTGATTAGTGATCTGTTGGTGTGATTTGCACTTCAGGGCCACCGTAGGAGGCAGGCGTTGCAGATTTGCAATGTTAAAACCTACCTACCTGGTTGCTCCACATACGTATTTGATTAGCATTTTTGACTCAGAAATACCCCTGAAGGACTTAGTTGTTCGTCCTTTCATCAAATCTTATTTTGAGCCTGAGTGGGTTAAAGAGCAGAGTTCAACAGCTGTAATTTTATACTCTACTGGACAAAAACAATGTTAAGGGGTGTGTGAATAGTTAGAAATAACAAGCATTGGTTGCTAATGAGCCACATTGGAATGTGGGTGTTTTTCACCCACGTGTGTGCTTTAAAGTGATGATGTCAGTGACTTTAAAAAAGGAATACAATGCTGAAATTTCTGAAAAGCTGTGTATGTTTGTATTCAGTCTTTGTACAGCAAAGATGGACAAAATTACATTGAGGTGTTTCAACATGATGTGGGTGTCATGCTCTGGCTAAGTCTCCTGACCCAGGACATACAGAATCAATCACAGGAGGAGGGATGAAAAAATGAGAAAACTATATTCATTCTTGAAAAGGAGAACCAAGGGAGCACCATCGAAGTGAGGCGGGGGTCCGTACAGGCTCGTGATGTGGTCGATTTAGAGGAGGGAAAGCTGGAGCTGGTGAGGGAGGTGGTCAGGTCTGAGGGGGGTTCGAGCTCAAGAAAGGTTCTCTAGAGAGTGGGCAAGTGCAGGGCGAGTGCAGGGTGAGTGGGTCGGTCTGGCCGGGAGAGAGGACGTGGTCCAGGGATGAGATCCGTCTGATTATGGCTGGAGAGCTGGAGACAGGAAGAGGGGTTAGGAACTCGAGAGGCTAGAGTGGAGCACAAAAGATTTTAGGTCGAGTTGGCACACAATCTCAGGTTGAGCAATGCCCAAAGTGAGTACCGTAATTTCCGGACTATAGAGCGCACCTCAATATAAGCCGCACCAACAAAAAAAAAAGGTTTTCTGCACACACGCTGCACTCAAATACAAGCCGCGGCGCAGCAGCCACATGCAGGTCTCCAGCACACAGCGCATGTACGGCCATAACATAAGATAGTTAGACAAAAAGAAGCTACACTGAAGTTTTTTGTTGTTTTTTTTTTTAATTCAACAAAACGAATTTTAACCACGGGCGAACGTGCCTGCAAGTTTAGAAAACAGCACTGATAGCATTCATATTTCTGGATGGTTATAACATAAAAATAGAACTGACACGTTATTACCGGTCATTTGCATGTTTAGAAGAAAAGAACAGCTGACACAGCATTAATAAGCCCTGGATGATTAGAAAATAAAAACTGCACACAAAACATGCCTGGTTAGTAAATAAAACACACTTGAATACCAGAAAAAGTCATTCGCTCTCATCTTCCTCTTGCGCACTAAAGCCATTAAAGTCCTCTTCTTCAGTGTCGGAGTTGAACATCCTCAGAAGAGCTTCGTCACATACCTTTTCTGTGGTGATGTCAGTGTCGCTGTCAGTGTTGCTGTCATCATCCCCGGGTGAAGCTGGCTTGAATGAGTTCTTCCCGCTGCCGTCTCCAGCGCCGAACCACAGATTCATTCATGCCAAGCTTACGTGCGGCAGCGCTGTTTCCCTCCTTTACTGCCAGATCGATGGCCTTCAACTTAAATGCGGCATCATATGAACTCATACGTGTCGTTACCATGATGAGGGGGTATGGATTTGAAACAAATTCTTCGTCGTGCCGGCTGCTTGCATGTGCTCAATTAAAATGTGCACTTTATTCGATTTCCACTTTTGACTTCCACCTGTTTCACTTTCTGCTAAAGCGCCCCCTGCAGGTGAAGGAAAATCTTCAGTAAAGCCGCACCTCATTATGAGCCGCATGGTTCAAAGCGTGGGGGAAAGGTAGCGGCTTATAGTCCGGAAAATATGGTAATCATCCGGCAAGGTTGGGTTTTCTCCCAGCTCCTTATAAGCACAGACCGGTGATGGAGAATCTGCTGCAGCTGCCCGCTCCTCGGCTCCACCCACCTTCAATTGAACACTCACACAGGTTATGGTAGAACCACTCACCTCAGATCCTGACAGTGGGTGGTGAAATGTGTCTAACTTACCAAAAGTTGTTCATGCCTTCATCACATCTAGGCTCGACCACTTAAATGCAGTTTTGCTGGGTGTCAATAAGTCAACCCTTGCCCGTCTTCATCTCGTTCAAAACACAGCAGCAAAATTCCTAACGCGTTCTGACAGACGCCAGCATATAACACCAGTTCTCAAATCCCTTCATTGGTTGCCCATCACTGTCAGGGTCCAATATAAAATGCTACTTTTTGTTTTCAAATCCCTCCATGATCTTGCCCCCGTGTGTAATGATGTGCATTGTTGTTTGGCTTGGTTGGTTCCGCAGTGTGTTGTGTTGCTGCACGGGCGTTTTTAGAGTACGCACCGTTATAGGATGCCGGCAGAGACTGTGTGTTGGTGAAGTCTTGTTAATAAACCTTACTACCCCGTTGGGTAGGAAATAGATATTCTGGAGTTTGTCGTGAATTAGACCAGAATATAACATGGTGGCAGCGGAGTGAGCAGCACGGCCGGAGTGGACCCCGGGGAGACGCCTGACGAAGCGGTGTGCTATTGGCGGCTAAGTGAGTTAGCACCGCTGCGAGCCATGGAGGGCCTTAAAGCACCGCCGACGCTGCTGTTGGACTCCAGTAACCTATCGCGGACATGGAAGACCTGGAGGGACGAGTTTATGCTCTATGTGGAGCTGACCATGGACCCAGACGACGAACAGAAAAAAGTGAGCCTTTTCTGTTATCTTGTTGGGGTGAGCGGCAGGGAGCTGCTAGACACGCTAATGGGCGACACGTCGAGGGATCAGTGGACGGTTAAGGACATCGTCGAGAAGTTTGATAATCATTGCAACCCGGCCGTTAATGAAACTGTGGAGCGGTATCGATTCTTCACGAGAAACCAAGGCACCAGTGAGACAATCGACACCTATGTGACGGAGTTACGGCTGCTGGCGAGAACGTGCAATTTTGGTGTAATAAGAGACTCATTGCTTCGGGACAGGATTGTATGTGGCCTTAACAACCCGAGTTTGAGGGAGAGACTGCTGCGGGAGAAAAACTTGACACTGGATGCATGCATACAACTCTGCAGAGCCGCGGAGCTGTCGCGGGAAAACAGCAAAACCATTTCGGGAGCTACAGTGGAGGAGGTGCATGCTGTGCGTGTAGCTGCGTGCCAGACACAGTTCAGCGACGCAGTGGACTGTAAGTTTTGTGGCAGAACACATGAAAGGAAGAAGGAAAAATGTCCTGCATACAGGAAGAAATGTAAAAAGTGTGGCAGAGAAAACCACTTTGCAGTTAAATGCACAGTACGTGCAGAGCAGACAAGAAGGTCGAATGTACACAATGTGACAGCATGTGAGAGTGATGAGTGTGAAGACGTTCTCTGTGTTACAGAGGCAGACACGCACGATTCAACTACAAAAAACACTGATAAAGTGAGAGACACCCGACTCTTTGCAGGCATGTTGATGGGCAAAGAGATGGTAAATTTCCAGATCGACTGTGGGGCCAGTTGTAATGTAATGCCAATCCACATGCTAAGCCCGAACACACAGTTGGAGGACTCACAGACAGTGCTGATGATGTACAACAGAAGTAAGATAAAGCCATTGGGAAAGTGCAAAGTTAAGTTACGTAACCCGAGAAATCAGAAACTGTATCGGTTGGAGTTCCAAGTGGTTGACAAAGACTGTAAAGTACCACTGCTGGGCAAGAGAGCCAGCGAAGCAATGAAACTCATAAAGGTGCACTATGAAAACATCCTGAAACTGGACAGCATCGTTACTTCAGAACCCCCTACAGCCAAGGAGTGGGACATAGATCAGATTAAGTCGGAATATGCGGATGTTTTCACAGGAGATGGCTGTTTGGAGGGAGAGTTACGGCTCGAAGTGGATGAAGCAGTGAAACCAGTACAGTTACCAAAACGGCGTGTCCCTATTGCAATGATAAAGCCGTTAAAAAAGGAGCTTCAAGATCTTCAGCGCAGAGAGATCATTACACCGGTTGAATGCAGCACTGACTGGATAAGTGGGATGGTTGTGGTCCAAAAGCAGAGCGGGGATTTAAGGGTGTGCATAGATCCAAAACCCTTAAACAAAGCCCTACAACGGAGCCACTTCCCATTGCCCACCATTGAGGACATTTTGCCGGATCTGTCAAAGGCTAAAGTGTTCTCTGTCTGCGACGTGAAGAGTGGATTCTGGCACGTGAAACTGGAGGAGGAGTCGAGCTACCTGACAACATTTTCGACTCCGTTTGGACGCTACAGATGGCTGAGGATGCCAATGGGGATAAGTCCAGCTCCGGAAGTGTTTCAGAGAAAGCTCACACAAGCTTTGGATGGTCTGGCAGGGATCTACATCATTGCAGATGATGTGCTGATCACGGGTCAAGGAGACACGGAAGCAGAAGCAGTGCAGGACCATGACGAGAAGCTGCGACAGTTTTTGTCCCGTTGCAGGCAGAAAAACATTAAGTTGAACGCAGACAAGTTCAAACTTAAACAGAAGGAGACTACGTACATTGGACATCAGCTGACATGCAACGGTCTGAAAATAGACCCAGAGAAGGTTAGGGCTATAGAGCAGATGCCCAGGCCGACAGATGTGAAGGCAGTGCAGAGACTGTTAGGGATGGTGAACTACTTAGCAAAGTTTTGCCCACATCTGTCTGATCACTGTGACTTACTGAGACGACTGACACACAAAGACAGTGAGTGGAATTGGACGACTCGTCATGACGATGCTTTCCAGAGACTGAAAGAGACTATAGCAGTGGCTCCAGTCCTGAAATACTACTGCCCAGAGGAAGAGCTGACAGTACAGTGTGACGCTTCTGACAAAGGATTAGGTGCAGCACTCATGCAGAAGGGTAAGCCTGTGGCTTTTGCGAGTAGAGCTCTTACACGTACAGAGCAAGGTTATGCCCAGATAGAGAAGGAGCTTTTGGCTGTTGTTTTCAGTTTGGAGAAGTTTCACCAGTACACTTATGGTCGTAAAGTGGTTGTACACAGTGATCACAAACCTTTGGAGACCATTGTAAGGAAACCGCTGTTGAGTGCACCCAAACGGTTGCAAAGGATGCTTATGCACATTCAGAAATATGACTTAGATGTGGTGTATGTGCCAGGCAAAGACATGCTATTAGCTGACACGTTGAGTAGGGCATATCTTCCAGAGTGCGCACCTCAGGGCTCCATAGAGGAGGAAATAGAGAGCATTAACATGGTCACTCATGCACCCATCTCACCAGACAGATTAAACAGCATAAGGATTGCTACACAGGAGGACAAAGCACTACAAACCCTCATAGACACAATTCACAGAGGGTGGCCAACTGACAAAAGAGACATGGACGGTGACATCAGACCATACTTCTCGTTCCAGGATGAACTGAGTAGTCAGGATGGACTTGTCTTTAGGGGTGAACGTGTTGTTGTCCCGACTGTCATGAGACAACAGATCATAGCCAGACTGCACTCGACACACCTAGG